TTTATATAAATGAGGTGTCAGTGTGTGTGAGAGAGAGAGACAAGAGAGAAAAAAAAAAAAATATATATATATATATATATATATATATATATAAATAAAATATGCTCCCAAAAGGATGGAGGCACCAGTTGTACAGGGAGATGAGTTTTCAGTGTTCGTGGGGAGGGCATATATATATATATATTTCCCCCCCCCCCCCCCAACTTCCCTCATCTAAACCACCATGTTCTCCTGTCTCCCTGCTCTGTCCCCTTTAAGAGTAAAATGAGTACGTTGGAACAAATAATATGGTGGAAGAAAACAGTATTTACCTTTACTATTTTCTTCCAGTCCCAACTTAATGACAGTATTTTCAATCCTATACCTCCACAGTAGCATCTTTAACAAAAATTCTTCCATTTGTCCTGTCATTATACTCTCCTCCTCCTGGGGTTTCTGGTTTTAGATTAGTTTCTATACTTCTGTCATTGTCTCCCCTTGCTGCCACTTCCTCTTGCTTGGTCCTTCCTCTGCTCTCCCCCAGAAACAGGTGCCTCTTTTGTCCCTCTATGCCCTGATAGAGTCAGGTGTGGGGGAGGTGAGGAGAAGTACAGTTGCTAATCCACTCAGAATTTCTTTGACTATATGCTAGGGAGGGTTGGCTTGAGGGCTCACTCACTGGCAGACCTCATTGAAGAGCTCCTGCTCATAGACCTGAATAAGCCTAATGACCTGTGTAGAACTCTCTCCAGATAGCATGACAAATGGAACAGAGATTTTCTTGGAAAAAACTCTTCTACAATGGATACTCTTTTAGTGGATAACATTTTCCATTATTTAGAAAAAAAATTGATTCCATGATTTTGGACAAAAAAAAAAGAAAACGAGCCCTGTTTGTTTTACAGGGGTTCTTAAACTGGGGGCTGAGACCCCTCTGGGGGTTGTGAGGTTATTACATAGGAGGTTGCGAGCTGTCAGCCTCCACCCCAAATCCCGCTTTGCATCCAGCATTTATAATGGTGTTAAGTGTTTAATTTATAAGGGGCAGGGGTTGCACTCAGAGGCTTGCTATGTGAAAGGGGTCACCAGTACAAAAGTTTGAGAACCACTGTGTTACATTTACCATTTGTATCAGAGCTGAAAGGTCCAGGCAGAACCCACTCAATGAAAGGGTGTCGCAGATAAGTGGTGGCACGTTTGCACTTCTCAATGTCTCCATCATGTTGGATCATATCCACAATCTCCTGTATCCATGTTGTACCTGAAAATATTAGAATTTTACATATTTCCCCAATGTGGTGCAGAGATACTTTTCTAAAAGAGAAATGGAAGCTTGTTAAAAAATACTGGCTGGATGGTGACCACAATCAAGGAAGACTGGGGAAGTCACAAGGCCATTGCTACAAGATGACGATAAGCATGGGGGTTAGAAAGTGAATCAGGGAGAAAATGCAATGGTAGGAAGGGAAGTTGAAACTTTTAGTACCTCCTGAGGAAAAGCCTCTAGGCTTGCATTTAGGACTGTGTTCTTGTGTGTGGTAGAAATGAATGAATAAAAGCATTGAGTTCAATTGGCTATGAATTGTGGGATTGTTTATTTGTAGAGCTGAGTTAATGTCATAATTTCCATCTCGAGGGAAATTCCGATAGACAGTTTTCATCCTGAACTAGGACAAAAAGTGAAAAATCAAAGGTTTCAATAAATGAAAAATTCTGAAATTTTTCAATTTGAAAATAACAAAAATGTTCAACATTTCTGAATTGAAACATTGTTTTGACCTTAAACTGAATCTGGCTGAGTTGCTGGGGTGCCTCCTAAGAGTTGTAGTTTGGGTGCTTCATATACCAATTCTCCCCCATGGGCTGGGCTCCGTGACTTGACTACAAATCCCATGATGCACTGTGATGGTTCATTCAGGGGAGACTACATCCCCTGTAATGCATCATAATCTGGCCAAGGAGTCCAGCCTATAGGAGAGAATGGGGGCATGGGAAAGTGAACTACAAGTCCCCTAATGCACTACAGCAGATCAGACAGATGCAGTTTAGTGTTTCACTGATCCAAAACTAAACATTTCAATTCCGTGCAACAAACTGAAATGTTTTGATTTAGGATGATCTCACACAATATTTTGTTTCAATTTTCCTTAAGCAGCCATATTTTCTGTTAAAAACGTTTTTACCACCTAATTATTTGAGTATTTGGATGACCACCAGGCATTCAAGAATGTTCTTTAATCCTAAAGTTTTACATATTTTTGTTCATCCAAAATTAGTACCTGAAGTTTGTTGTTCATTATTCCCTTATTTGAAAGGTGTAAATAATCTACCATATGACGTAAGTGGCCAACCACAGGACACAAAAAATAAATACTAGCTAGTGAAGACAGACTGAACAACCTGTAAGCTGAAGAGTCATCCAAACCTCTTGGCAAATACTAATAATTAAGGCTATGTTTACACTTAAAACATTAGTGTAGCCCTACATGTGTGCCACTGTAGCACTTCAGTGTAGACACTACAGTGACACAAAGGGTTCTTCCATCGCTGTAGTTAATCCATCTCCCCAAGAGGCAGTAGCTAGGTCAAGGGAAGAATTCTTTGTTGACCTAGTGTTGTCAACACCAGGGGTTAGGATGGCAGAGCTAAATCTCTGAAGGGTATGTTTTTTAAACATCCCTGAGAGACATAGCTATTCCCATGTAAGTTTTCAGCATAGACCAGCCCTAACTAATAAACTTGTGGAATTCAGGAATGGTTCATACCTGAGTCACTAACAAAACAAAAAACCTCCCCCCCAAAAAACTCATAAGCCCTAAATTCATAATAGTTCAACCAATTCCCTTTGCTTCATTGTAAACTGAACAAAACCCTAGTTAAAATCAAATTAATACAAATTGCGTGTCACTGATTATACATTTACACAAACTGAACTAAAGATTTAATAATATGATATTAGACTATTTGCATTTTGTAAGTGATTGGTTATTTTTTTCTGACAAGGAAACTAGAAGTCACTGGTGCTCTGATGAAAGGCCTATGCTAGGTTTTACATAAATCTCAAATCACAAGTCTTGATAAAAGTATTGCAAAGCATGAGTTTCAGTGCAGGCAGATAGTTCTGTCTCAACCCATTTCCACTCTCTTCCCACACACCTGCTTTTGCATAGGTTGTGATGAGCAGATCATCAGGTCTGGCTCTGAAGTTCCAAATTTGATCCCACCTGTCACACACTCTTTTTGGAAGGAGAACTCCACCCACTTCATCTGTTTCAGAGCGTGTCATGGAGCTCTCTAGGCTCAGATCTTTCATCTTACCCAGGGCCATTGTGTACTGCATGGAGAAGAAACAGATTGCCAATAAACAGGTCTGCTCTAAAGAAATATATGCATTTACTATTCTAATCTCAGCCAGGGACTCAGTGCACTTAGTATGGTAAAAGTGTCCACAATTCTCTGACTCAGTTGCTTAAAGTTAAACATATTTAAATCCACATTTAGGCACTGCAAACTGTACCCTAATTTTCACAGGTGCTATGCACCTTGCAGCTCCCACTGACTTCAATGACAGCATGTTTGAAAATCATGCCATTTACTTAGGTACCCATATTTGAACATTTTAGCCTTTGCATATATTACTTAATGTAAATTAGTGACATGCACAGGCAAATTACAAACTACATAACTTGGAGCATGATCCTCAGAGGGGTCAAGCATCCACAGTTTTCACTGAAGTCAACTGAAGACACCTCACAGAACCAGGTCCTTCTTTACTAAAGAAAACAAATGGAAAAAGCTTAGTAATGTTAGTGCTCCTACTCATGCTACTGAAAACTAAACCACATTGATCCTTTGTAATTATTCCAGTTCTGGACTTTTATCTTCTGGAATACTGTTGCATTTTACAGCTCTCTGTATCACCTCAGTCACCTTTTTCAGTGCTTTTTTGAGCAATGGTAACATATCTGGAAAATTCTGAGATAGCTGAAGTTAAAACTGGCTCATTGTGCCTGCTTGTCACAGTCCTCCCACAGAACACCATGATTAGAAATAGCATGCCTGCTACAATGCAATACTCACAAAACAGACCGAAGAGGGGTTTTCTGGAAGGTGCAGGGCTTGGAACCACAAAACTGAGAGAAACTTGAAGCTGGAGAGTTACACACACTTGGATGCTTCCTGTCCCTGATGTTGCAGTTCCAGCATGAAGAGCGTATGCTCTCTGGGGGCTGTTCTATTTCTAATCCTATCCACACCTTCTTTAATATAGGTGCGGTCAACAAAGAAATAGTGTAGGAAATTGGGCAGAGCTTACAAAAAGTCTCCTGCAGATGCAGGAAAAAGAGAAGGAGGCGGCATAGTAACCGGTAATGGCTAGAGAGTTTCTCTGCCTTGCAATGTATGCTCCTTTTTAATATCTGGAGGGATATTTTAATCATATTGTAATAAAATAAAAATGTTTACTTACCTATGACATTAACACTTGAGATTATTAAAAGAAAAATAGCTCCAGAGAGGGTGATTTGTTTGTACCACAGTTTAAACTGTCTCAGAATAAGAAAATTTCCCCCAATATTTAACCTAATCTGTACATATAGTAGCTTAAAGGGAAAATAAGTCTCTTTATCTGTGTTACCATTAGCATCGGAGCGAATATTGAGTGAATTAAAAAAAACCCAAACCAAAAAAACCTTGTTTTGTTTTCACCACTTACTGTAAACTGCTTGTTTCCTTTTATTCAATTTGGACAAGGAGAACCGATTCCATGGTCACTAATTTTTGTTTAAAGTCTGTTTCTAGTCAATTTCACTTTCTGATTGTCAGTCATTAGCATGATGTGCAATATTTTAATCTAAAGGTCTATTTAAGAGTTTAAACAATGAATTGTTTTCAGTAACATCATGAGAACATTTCCATTAGATTTTGTCAAATGGTCACTCAACAGGCTGAATTGGGGACTTAAAAGATTACTTCCAATTATTTTAAGTCCATTATTGCCCCACACAGCTGAGCTGCTGATTTTTCCACCAAGGAGTTATCTAATAGAGGAAACTTTCAAAGCCACCACTGATCCTATGGAGTAATGATAGCAGAGGTTCCTCCTACCATAGCTCCTGAAACCTGCTTCACATGAGTTTTCACCATATGGAAAAGAAATGCCTGAAATGGAGAATGCATGATACTGCTGGACAGTGGCCAATTCTACCACTTCCTCGACTTGCAGATGGGCCAGGTAAATGGGTAAATAAGTGCCAGAAAGATGTCAATACCCTCCTGATTGCCATTTTTGGCATTGGGAAGGAATTTTCCCCCAGGTCAGACTGGGGAGACCCTAGAGTTTTTCCACTTTGCTCTGCAGCGTGGGTCACTTGCTGGTTTGAAGTAGAATAAATGGTGGATTCTCTGTAACGTGAAGTCTTTAAATCAAAATCTGAGGACTTCAGTAACTCAGCCAGAGGTTATGAGCCTACTACAGGAGTTGGGTTGGGTGAGGTTCTGTGGCCTGCAACATGCAGGAGGTGAGACTAGGTGATCATGATGGTCCCTTCTGGTCTTAAAGTCTCTGAGCTCCTTCTTCCTACACATACAGCAGGGTCCACTGGCTTTTCATCCCTCCTGCCTGATAAGGCTTGATCAAGGACACCAATATTGTTTAGATAATTGAAGTTGTAATCCAGAGTACTGAGGCAAACAGTCTTAAAATTATGATACAAAAACTCTGCCCAAGTTGACACTGATGCCCTTATAAAAAAGGCATCTAAGATGGTTACCCACTAGGCTGGAGGAAAGGGACAGGTACATGAAGGAAGAGAGACCAGTGGCTGACTCTTCTGAAGTACCCTGGACATTTGTACCATTAAGAAATGAAAAACAGCTAAGATACAATACCTTAAACAGAAGTTATGGGTGGGATGCAGAAATTACTGGTTCTGTGTTATGCAGGAGGTCAGACTACATGCTCTTAACAGTCCCTTCTGGTCTTTAAAAAAAAAGTGAGTGGAGAATTTTTACTGTGGCCTGACAAAGTGCTAGGGGTTCATTTTTGTTTGTGTTTCATCCCACAGTTCAAATAAATTGTTGAGTTGTCAGTTTTCACAAGTAATATGATATTAGGCATATTATGTGTCTTGGACTGAATCCTGATTTACTCATGATTTCAAGAGAAAGATGGATCTGTCTCATGTTTTTTGCCATTAGTAAAATGGCTATCATCGCCCATTGTTTTCAGTATGATGGAAGCTACAGGCTGCCCTCTGCCCAAATGCATGCCATTTCCTTGATCCTTTACAGGTGGAAGTAAAGCTTCCCCCAACCTATCCTTAGCTAAGATAACTGGCCTATTGATCACATGTGGCATACAGGAGACAGTGTGCAGATGGGGGAATGAGACAGGTCAAGGAGTGAGACTGGTGGAGGCAGAGAAGGGGACAAGTGAATAAAAAGGGCTTAGGAGGGAGAATGAGTGGGGAAGGGAAAATGTGGGAGAAACATGGAATGGGGACAGGAGTACCTCACAATCAGGATTCAGTCCAAGACACAGCACAGAGATGGCTATTTTGGTACTAAAGGACAATCTTCTTGTGGCCATGGACAGAGGTAAGATCACCACAACTGTAGTATTGGACCTTTCTGTAGCCTTTGACATGGTGGACCACAAGGTACTACTAACCTGCCTACATGAGGTATCTCCAGTAGATGGTCCAGCACTACAGTGATTCTAATTGTTCCTGTCTAGCAGAATATAGATTGGTGATGAGTAACTGGTTTTTCCCTCTGAAGGCTCTAGCCTGCAGGGTCTCACAGGGATTCACGCTATCTCCTTTTCTCTTCAAAATCTACATTGAGACTACTAGGAGAGACAGTGAGATAGGATAGGATTAGCTGCCAGCAGTATGCCCATGACACTCCCCTTTATATATCATTCTCAATTGATGCAACCATTGCTGCATCTATCCAAAATGTCACAATGACTACAGGAAATTAGTTCTTGGGTTAAGAGCAGCTGGCTCAAGCTGAACCTACAAAAGACTACAGTCATGCTGTCTGGAAAGAGGAAATGCTTTGAAGAAAAAGCCAAGACATTGTCTCTACTTTCCATTGAAGGCATACAGTCAGGGCCGACTCTGGCTTTTTTGCCAAGGGCGGCAAGGGAGGGTGCCGAGTCTGGCCACGGGCCCGCAATCCCCGACCAGCCAGAGCACCGGGGGGAGGGCGGTGAGCCCGCCGCGGCTCCGCTCTCCCCGGCAGCCAGAGTGCCGGGAGGAGGGCAGAGAGCCTGGCTGGGGTTCTCCGCTCTCCCCGGTGGCCAGAGCGCCAGGGGGAGGGCGGCCAGGGCTCTCTGCTCTCCCCGGCGGCCAGAGCGCCGGGGGGAGGGCGGCGAGCCCAGTCCCGGCCCCGCTCTTGGGCCGGAGCGCCCCGCCCCCCTCCAGGCGCCGCCCCAAGCACATGCTTGGTGGGCTGGTGCCGGCCCTGTATACAGTCCCCATTCATTAGAGTGGTGTGAAGTCTTGGGGTCCCATTTGACTCTTTAATAAGTCTGGATGACCAATTAGGCATTTTTTAGAAACTGGTGCTATCACTTTGAGCTGGCTTGGAAACGTCATCTCTTCCCCTGGATGAGGGCCTGGCCATAGTGATCCTGGCATTAGTCACTTCCAGGCTCGATTACTGTAATCGACTGTATCTGAAGCTGAATATGAAGACAATGCACATGATTCAGCTGGTGCAGAATGTGTCTGCCTATCTTTTCTATTGCTCAAGCTGCCATGAGTACATCAGGCCTTTGATAAAGTCCCTCCACTGCTTCTATAATGGGATGGTACCCACCTATTGCAAGCACCCCCTTCTTCAGGTGTGCGTCTGCACCTCTTTCAGTCTGTGGTGACCCATTCTGGCAGTTTCTAGTGACTCAGCCCTCCATCCAAGTCACATGCAGTCTGTATGGAACACAACTCCAACACTTTGCCCACTCTGGTCTGTTCTGGCCCCAGGTCTCCAGTGGGGCCTCTTAACAGTTCAGATCCCCCTTCTGGAAGTTTCTGACTGTCCAGTTGTAGGCCACTTACCCAGTGGCTTATGAGGGGAGAACTCAGGCCCACCCACTACTCTGGGTCCCAGCCCATGTACCACTCTGTTCCTTTACCCAAACTACTTTCAGTTACCTAGCCATTTCCCCACCTTCCAGCCTTCACCAATGTTTCACCCTTACCCCATGGCTCTTCTATGTTCAGGCCCAGCAGCCAGCCTGGAGCTCTTTCTTGCTCCCCCTGTCCCTGCCAGCACTGAGCTGTCCATGATGCTGCTATCCTTCAGTCTGCTATAAGCACC